GCATCCACTTACACTTCTTACGCACCCACACACATTTTGAACTCACTTCAATTCTTACTTTTCACAATAATGTATGTATGAATAACAAATTATTCAAGATCAATTTTTATAATGCTAACTTACACTATAAGAAATAAGAGTAATATCGGCGACAGACGTCGCAGCTAAAAGTTTTGTTTGTCGCCTCTAATACTTTTAGCAGGGATACATCATCGTTAAAAGCCCGCCGCTGATGCTTTATCGCTAATACTCAAAATGTCGCAGCTAATGTGAGATGTCGCCGCTAAAGGCGTGTCACCTCTAATAAATGGGCGTCCCCGCTAAAGTATTGTCACTGCTAATAACCAATTGTCGACGCTAAAGGCAGAGTCAGTATTGTTATTTATTTATTTTTTTTATTTCACATTAAAATTGAAAAAAAAAAAACTATATATAAAGCATAAAAAACTACAATGATAGTAATTAATCTAATCTTACATCCTTCCATTCCAAAATACAAATCCAACATCCGTTTAAAGTACTCATCCAATTTAATATAATGCAAAATATGTAACATACTAGTCTAAAATACTTAAATAAAACATTACAAAAATCCTAAAGGTAGCTACTTGTCATAATCGCTCTTCTCGTTTCCTTCGGTTTCATTTCTTTGTAGCAACGAACGAAACCAATCTTCAAATGCGGCACTACATGCCGAATCTTTTAACGTTGTTTGAAGTAGCTCCAACTACAAAGAAAACAACATAGTATTATAAGTTAAACGAACATTATAACATTCTATGTACAAAATATACATTCCACATACAAGCAAAGTGAAAAGTATAGCATTGTACGATAACTAACAATTACCAAACTACAAAATAACATTATAGCATTGTACTTTCATAAACTAAGAATTACCAACTTACACATATTACATATAACACATTATAGCATTGCACTATAGCTAACAATTACCAAATAACAAAATACCATTATAACATTGGACATTCATAAACTAACAATTACCAAACTATAAATATTGGATATAACACATTATAACATTGTACTTAACTAACAATTACTAAACTACACATATTGCATATAACACATTCTAACATTGTACTTTTTTTCATTTTTTCCAACATAGCATTATACTTTCATAAACTACCAATCACAAAACAACATAATACCATTATAACATTATACTTTCATAACTTACTTCTTTGAAACATGCATTGCTATACGAGCACGATCCCCTTCTGTTTACAACTTGTTGTTGTGCATGGACTCAATTGTTTGATGCTAAACGCTTTAAAAATTCTGGTGGTTGAGAATGTTTGACTGCTTGATAGACCTCTTCTTCTTTTAGATAGTTTAGCTGAAAATATTATTAAAAATAAGATAGCTTATAATAAATGAATAAAAATAGCTAATAAATATATCATAATAAAACTTACCATCATGTTCGTGTTGTATACACCCAAAGCCTAATGGAGGTGGTAGATCCCCGACTCCATCACCTCCATTTCATAGGGCCAAAACAACTACCATCATGTAGAAGAGTATTGCGCAACTAAACCCCATATATAGTTTGCAAAATTATAGTATGAATAAAAGTTACACATATTGCATACATAAAAATAATACAGCTTCTATTATAGCATCCTACTTTGTTTTTTTATTCATTTTTTTCATTATAGCATTGTAGTTTCCAAATTGCATACAAATACATATACAAAAATAGTACTTTCCATTATAGCATCCTAATTTGTTTTATTTTTATTTTTTCATCTTTTTCATCCATATCATTATAGTATTATATATATATATATATATATATATATATATATATTATATATATACACACATATATATTAAAATAAATACACATTCCATTATAGCATACTACTTTGTTATTTTTTTTTTCCATTTTTTTCATTATAGCATTAAAGTTTCCAGATTGCATTATACATACATACATATGCATACAATTACACATATTAATATACATACAAATACAATTACACATATAATAAAATAAATACACATTCTATTATGGCATCCTACTTTGTTTTTTTTTTTTTTTATTCTTTTCATTATAACATTAAAGTTTCCGGATTGCATTATACATACATACATATACATACAAATACACATATTAATATACATACATATACACATTTATTATATAAACATTTTTTCCATACATCATATACATTACAATTTAGATAAAATACACTTAAACATACATCCTACACATATTACACATTCCATACACTTCTTTTTTTTTTTCATTTCTTCCATTATAGCAATCTACTTTCTATAAAAAAAAATCCTTGATACATATATACATACATTACATATATAAATACACACATTATACATACAAATACACTTAAACATGCTTCTTACACATATTATATATTTATTATAACATCATACATTTATGCATCATACTCTTTTTATATTTTTTCCATTATACCATCCTACTTTTTTTCATTTTTTCCATACATATATACACATATTACATACCAATATATACACATTGCATACATTTATGCATTCATTTTTCATATACTTACATCATACATATTACATACATACATAATGCATAAAATATGAAAAACTAGATTAGAATACTTCATGAAATGGAATAGAATCCGTGGCGGAGTGAAATCAGAGTGGTGGTGGTGTTGTGGTGGCAAAAAAATTTGGCAGCTTTGGTGGTGGTCTTGAAAACTCGAAATTAGAGGTCAATAAAGCTTAATACACAAAAGCAAGCACCCAAATCATTAGATAGTTAATAGATAGAGAAGAAATAGGAAAAATTAGGAGAATCACTGGTATTGGAGGTTGTGAAGGAAAAATCCTGACAATCCAGTAGCTAATGCGTCGCTGGTATTGATTCTTCTATCTGCGGTGATGACGGTCTTTTTCATCGTCGTCAGATAGAGGGTACGAGGTTGGGTTGCAGTTCTTGTGTCAACGTCGATGAGAGGAAAGAGTTAAAGCTAAGATAATCAGAATATTGCGATAAACGGGGGTATATTTGCGCTAAGCTTTAGCAGTGACAAATTTTTATGGTGACGGAGGAGTATTTGCGGTGACAGAATGGTTTTAGCAGCGAAACGTTTGGATGGAAAAGACACCGATTTTTTTTAGCATTAGTGACGACGATGTTGCTACAATTTACGTTGTTGATAAAAACATTATGTGATCTTCGTTTACAGCAATTAGATAAGTCTAGATCAACAGATAGGGTTTACTCTTTTCATTTGATGTGAATCGTGGTTTTCTACCGATAGCGGCGATGCCATTAGTGGTGAAGCACACTATTAGCGGCGATACGTAACCCGCAAATTACGTGTCGTGTCTAATAGTGTGTGTCGCCGCTATTTCCTTTATTTCTTGTAGTGTTAGGAGAATTTCAAAAATATTTTGTTGTTATATTTGTTTTGACTGGTTTAGTTTTTATGTGATAGATCTAACAGAGCAAGAATAACAGTCATGACCATTCAATTAATGTTTAATTTCTTTCATATATGACATAGTTATTGGCTTGTTAGTTACTATTTTATGTTTATTTTTTAATTTTAAGTATGACAATTCCTCCACTAATGTTCAGGTACTTATTATAAGTTCAATATGGGTATTTTCATATTCTAGTCATTATAAAAGTTAGTGTGAGACTTGAATCTGGTTTTAAATTGATTATTACTTCTAAAAGTTTGTACCTAGGACTTAATGTTACCTAGGACTTAATGTTAGTCTTAGTAAAAACATATTGGAGACTAAATGAACGAATATTAGTATGTGCTAATGAGTCCCAAAAAACATCGTCATGACTAAATGACATGGTCTGCGAGACGAATATTCAATCATGGAACAATCAGGTTCATGGTTTATGGAATTTGTACAAAATGAGGTGTCAGAGGAAATACATTAGAGACTAAATAAGATAGCAATAAGTGATATCTAGTCTCTTAAATATAATAGTCCTAAAATTAGAATATGAAGGAAACATACTGGATGATAAATGAGATAATATTAAGAACTGATATCCATTCCAATAAATATACTATTAGGAAGTGATATGACATAAAATTAGAGGTTCAATGAAAACAAATTAGAGACTAAATGTTATAGTGTCCAAGACCGATTTTCTATCTTTGATACTCACACACATTAAGGATTGATTTTAGTCTTAGATATATAAAATCAACTATCTAGGACTAGGTATCCAAGACTAGCTAAGTATCATCTAAATCAGTGTTGTATGATTATCATAAACTGATAAATGAACATCTAAGACAAACCGTGTCAGTGTTTGATACCTTTTGTTTCTTATAGTGTTAGTGGGTATACATATATATACCTCACATTATAAATCAATATATGTGTATACTAATCACATCTTAACTAATATCATTTTTGCATTATCTTATGATTTCCTAATTGATAGTCACTAATAAACACCATTACATAAACCATGACAATACATTTTTAAGTTTGCAAGCCTTTTTCACTGCCACCACTAGTTTTTGATGCTCTGGGGGATGGGAAAATGGCATAAAGCATCCTAAGATATGTTGCATACCCCTTCTAATCACTTAGGTGATCGTTATATTTCATTTGGGACACCTACTCACATTCAAGGTTTTGTTTATGTAAAAGCTTTAGATGTATTGCTTATATGTGCTCATTGTAAAAATTTTGTACTACAAATGGTGTTCAATCTCGTCTACTCCAACCATGTAACATGTATCAAAAAAATACAAGCTTAGTAAAGAAATTGTGATTGAGACATAATCTAGATTCTTAACATCAATGTATTCAAATTCTTCACATATGCTAATACATTCAAGTTACATAAAATAAGTAAAACAAGTCTTTCATGAAATTTTATATATATTGTCGTTCAATCAACGACCACAATTAAATAAAAGACAATTTTGACACTTGTACCAAAAACAATATGATAGAACATATCAAATGACTCATCCTTATGAGCTCTACATTCATTTAAATACGTGTTTCACTGCACCAGGAAGATGTGTATGCAAGAAATAATCCTCCCAATCAATTGTCTTTGGATCAAAATAGAATATATTGGCTTCAACCTCATTTTCTTTAACTACTTGACGTAGTTTTTCAGTATTCATATCATCATAGCTATCAAAAACAAAGAACACATATTTTTTAGAATCTGTTAGATTGGGCAAACAAAGTAATCGAATAAGAAAAATAATAAAATGAATTATTATATGTGATTATCATATTTTGTACACCTTTTATATATATATATATATATATATATATATATATATATATATATATATATATATATTATAATTGGATGAAACTTTACATAGATATCATTTTGTTATAATTATTGATGTTTTTTTTAGAAAATGAATATAATAAAAGTTTATTTTAATCCAATTATAATAAATAATATATAAAATGTTAATTATGTCGAAGATATAATATTATAATTTTAAAAGAATCATGAAATATTATAAAAGAAAGGGATTCATATAAAATTTCTTTTTGTATACACAATAATTTATCCAATTGTGATGTGTAAGATTCTAAAGCATATTTTGTTGTTAATGAAGAATTTGTGAATAAAGAATAAATGTCATCTACGGATCTAACTCTCATTATAAAAAAGACATGTGTGTTTTATTAGTTAAAGATTATTTTATTTCCATTACATTATATAACCAACACCGTCCTTCGATTCCGAAAGTACGCAATCTCCATGATTATTAAATGAAAGAAATTGGTAACCAATAAAAGTCTAACACAACTTACAAGCTTTTGGAGAACAAATAGGGTTTGTATAACTCCACCACCCTTAGCACAAAGTTGATCTTTCTTTTAAGATCCGAATACGTTCCACTAAAAGCATGACATAACGCCGAATTCACCACTTTCAAACCCTGAAAATGAACATTAATGACGTTATTATTAAACGGACACGAATAAGTATGACTAAAGGAGGATTAAGACAAAGCCAAACCTGTAGTGGAAGCAAGTAACGAAGATTAAAGTATCTACGAAAGCTATCCATTGAGCTCAACACTTTAACCTCGCTAACAATAACTGGTGTCCCATCTTTGTTAATCCATGGATTCTTGGAAAAATAATTATACCCACTTTTTTGAATTCCTTTATACTTCAAAGGATTTGATACGGAAGATCCAACATGATATATTGTTTCACCAGGTTGGTTTGCATGAGCTGCCATTGTCGCAATCATAGCATTCGCCACCATGTCTGCTGGTATCTGTTATCCAATATTTTCAACATTAGCAAAATTAAATGAATTGTGGTCCATATATATTAATGATGAAACTACATCAACTAATTATGCATCACATGATAGCGAGTGCAAAATAAATATGAATTGCACTTGATTGAAGAACCTACCACATCGATTGTTGATTCAGGATCGCCGAGGAAACATGCTAACCTTCCTTTGCCATAGCCGACTGCCAAGCTGTCGATTGTCCTGTAATTTTCAAATACATGAATCTTTTTAATTGAGTTTATAAAGTAAACTTGAATTTTCTTTTTGTCCTTTATAAAGAAAGAAAGTAACACTTTTTACATTAATAACGAAAAACTACCTTATGCCTTCGATCCAACCAGGAAAGGGTTCTTTATACGTGCTAAGGATGATGGTTGGGCGAAGAATAACCAAAGGCATATCTCCTTTCAAGTGCCCAAGAACCATTTCTCCCAACGCCTTCGTAAAAACATACGTATTTGGCCAACCAAATTTGTTTGCCCTATAATTAAATCAAAACAAAAATAAAAGGTTTATTAATATATTTAAATAGATATATATTAGTAATTAATACTAGGCTGTACCTAAAAACGAAATAATATACTTAAGTACTGGAAATGAGAATTTATGTTGTTTTTTATAGTGAAATGAAATTGATAATAAAAAAAAATAAAATAAAGTAAGAGATTAATAAAAATGATGATGAATATAGAACCATTTTTATACCTTTCAATTCCCAAATCTTTCATGGCTAATGTAATAGATTTATCTGTAGATGTTTCATCAGCGCTAAGTTCTTTAAGTTTTTCTTCGATGATCTTCTTCTCCACATTGATGTCTAGTCCATCTAAACCATTAAGCGCATCTCCCAAACGATATGGAGTTTCAAGTATAAGCCCAGGTGTCTCGCCAGAAACATAAGCTGAATGAACACATAATTTTAATTTAATAAAGGCTGTGTTGATTAATTGGAAAAATAAAATTACAAAAGTGTAGATATATATACTGACCTGTAGATACATGCAGAAGCAATTTTATCTTGACACACTTAGCAGCAAAATTATAAACATTTCTAGCTCCAAAAGTATTCAAAGCTAGGGCAATGTCATATCTGAAATAAATTATCAACGGATTGTATAATTACGATTGTGTTATATATGTGCATACGTTTTAAAGTACGATTTTATATAATTGTGGATGTTGATTTCTAAACTTTAATTCAACTTAAATAAACTTTAATATTTAATACTAATGGTTGGTGTACCTTTCATCAAAGTTAGTGGTTGCAGCTACATTGACAACAACATCAACACTTTTCCACATCTCTTGGATCAAATTGGAGTCCTTTATCCCCAGATTTTCATAAGTGATGTCTCCTGCTATCGGAGTAACTTTTTCCGATAAGAAAGATTGAAGATTTGTACCATACTTCTCTTTCAATGTCTTAAACAAATCCTTTGCCACTGCCTATATATTATTGAGAAAATAAATGGATATATGTTAGAGAGAAAAATTAATTAAAAAGGAAAAGGGAAACATCGAATTAATATGTTGGAGACTAAAAACTCAAGTATTCATCATTTTGTTTAAAATATTAATTACATTCGTATTTTATCAACATAATTTATATAATTATATTACAACACTGATAATATATAAAATTCTTAAAATTAAAATATAGAAAATATAGTCGATCCAACTGACCAATTTTGATATACATTTACAAGTTACCAATTTCGACCTATAATCCAACTGACCAATTTTGCTATACATTTACAAGTTACCTATTTCGACCTAATATTCAACGCGACCATTGGTCAATCGACACGAAATTGTTCATAATATATTACAAAGTTTAAGTTTTCCAAAATGATAAAATGGATTAGTCCGCTATGAAGTATAACTCTTGTATTCTCTAGGTCAAATTTAAAATTATTTCCATATATTTTTTTATCATTTCTATCAGTTTGCGATGTCTACCATATATTAACGCGCATGGTGTAAGTTGAACCAGAAAAGATAAATTTCCTAAAATAATAACACAAAAAATTATATACATACATATGATAATTAGAAGAAGCTTAATTATTACTGGCCGTATGTAAACGATTTTAAGATCACGACATCGAGAAATTAAAACATAATAAATAATAATATTGCGAACATATATATGTCCATATCTAATTTAAAGAATTTGTAGTTCTAAGTGTCTGATCAGGTCCCATTCGATTAATTATAGCAGGTTTATATGTCAGAGCATACTTAAATGACATAAAACTACTCACCGGCCCACATGAGCATTTTTGTTATGTGTACAAAAACACGGCGAATTATATTCACCAGTTATTATCATATCCCCTCACAACTATTCACAAACACGTACTCGAACAGTAGATTTATTTTATTTTATTTTTTTTCCCGCTTACATACCTCAGTATTGAAACGTTGCATAGCGGATTTGGCATCGGTAGCTCTTACAAGAAGATATAGCTTCTTCACATTTGGTTGAACCCTAAGTATCTTTTCCACAAATACTACAAACATATACAAAAACCGAACTTAATTAAATATATCCCTACAAAAATCCAAGTTTTATGCAAAAAAAGAAAAAAAAAATGGGACTTTCGCTAAAAGTATTTACAGCCGAGTCATCTAACTTATATGATCAGGGCTGAAGAAGTTCTCATTGAATGTCTTACATATGATAGATTCTAGACTGCAGGTATACACTAAATGCACCATCCGTAACATGCATGTTTGTAAGTAGGACGATAAGATGATCACATGTCACGTACAAAAGTATATATACTTCGTTTCTTGATAACATGTACTTATTACTGTATTAATATTGTCCTGCACATATATATATATTTATGCATGTATGCAGTACATACATACATATGGAGAGAGAGAGAGAGAGAGAGAGAGAGAGAGAGAGAGAGAGAGAGAGAGAGAGAGAGAGAGAGAGAGAGAGAGAGAGAGAGAGAGAGAGAGAGAGAGAGAGAGATACTTTTTGCAAGAAAACCAGTGGCACCAGTGACTAAAATGGTCTTGTTGTCAATGAAATCAAGAATGCTACCAGACTCCATTTGTTACAAGTATGTATATCTAGTGATCACCCTTTCTCTATATGGAAATAACACACACACACACACACTCACACAAGAGAGAGAGAGAGAGAGAGAGAGAGAGAGAGAGAGAGAGAGAGAGAGAGAGAGTTGAGAGCAGAGAACTGGTGTGGAAGGTGATGGGATGCAAGCGATATATAAAGATGGAAATTTGGGTAAACTGAGGAAAGAAGGAGCCAAGTGGTGAGTAATATCAGGGTACACCCAATCAATGCTTTGTCAGATTAGTTTGGTAGAGATAGACAGAAATTTCGGTGATTCATATCTAAACGCTCAAAATAATATCCACGTCGGCACTTTTGAAACTGGAAAAAGGTCGGTCTGAACATTTACGATTGCATCGACACATAAGGTCGTTCTCCAAGTTTATATGTGAACGTAATCCCCTTCATAGTTCACATAACTCCGGTTAAAATTTGTCTTTTTAGAAGATGGGCATAATCTATATTCTATATAGTAATGTACCAGTTGAAGACTGAATTTGCAAATCACATAATAAAGTCTAAGAGTATATACGTAAAATTTTGCTGATTTAACAAGGAGAGGCTTGATAAAAACGTAATCACTATATATTTAAGCAAACTGATAGCTTATAATATGATAAAGTCTCTTGATATAAAAATAATATTTTACATTTTATGGGGCATGCATCTTAGAAATGAAAATATTAAATTTGTGAGGTAAAGCGTAAACCATAAGTAAATTAATAATGAAGAATTTCTTTGACAAATTTACAGATAGAGATTATATATGATTTAAAATTGTGTAAAACATAATTTTTCATTAATATGCATGTTTCATCCACAATTGCTCATAAGTTATAATTAATATATATTTATTCTCAAATCGCACACATCGATATTCAATCAAAGAGTGTAGACACATATAGTTGAACCACTTGAATATATATATATATATATATATATATATATATATATATATATATATATATATATATATATATATATATATATATATATATATATATATATATATATATATATATATATATATATATAGACACACACACACAGAAGAAAAAAAAGGAATTAGCAGCAACAAAAGTTGCGGGTAAAGCAATAGCAGCAGTAGGTCGTTGGTAAAAAGTCGTCAATACTGTTTTGTCTTTATTGCTCAAAATATCGACGGTAAACATATTTGTCACAGTTAATATAGTTGTTGCTGGTAATATCGTGTTTCCCTGATAATGCTTTCGTTGCTGATAATAACATTTTTCATTTTTTTTAAATCAATGATTTTTGGTGCAAAAAAACTGATACTTATCGCCATTAATGCGGAAAAAAAAATTCATAATGACATCCGATTAGATTTTTTTTTTTTTTTTTTTTTTTTTTTTTTTTTTTTTTTTTTTAATTTGAACAACACAATTTCATAAGAATCACATTCATCAACTAATGAGAAGTTAGTGACACCAAAAAAAATAAAGAACAAATTACATCCAATTATCTTTATCTAAGCCTTTCCAAGTAATGTTATAATTAATTTCAGACAAAAATAAACAACCAAAATTTATAATTCCAATAAGTAACAAAGTGTCATAACAAGTCTAACATACAAAATACAAACTAATTATCTGATGAACCATCATCTTCGTTCTCATCGTTTCCTCATTGGTCTTTCCTCGATTGGAAAAACACATAAAGTTTCTCCTTACATCTCGGAACGTTAAGCATTGCCTGGAGATACTGCATAATAAATAAAAACATATATCAACTTATAAGCTAAATTATCAAACATAAACAAAAACTACCAAAGTACATTGTCATTTCTTGCACTTAAATACTAGAAATACCAAAAGTACAATGTTATTTCTTGCACTTTGGACAAAAAACACAAGTACAAAATCAACATGCACTAATTGATGTCAAGTACATTGCTATTTTTAAACTTGGGAGAAAAAGCAAAGTACATTGCTATTTCTTGCACGTATACATAAACACAATTACCAAATCAACATGCATTTATTGATCATTATATAGATATATGAGACTTCAAAATTAGATAATCTAGTTTTTTATGCTGAAGAACATTAAATACAAGAAATATCATAATACATTGTTATTTCATGCACTTAAATACAAGAAATACTAAAAGTACATTGCTATTTCTTGCACTTGGGACAGAAACACAATTACCAAATCAACATGAATTTATTGATGTCCAAGTATATTGCTATTTTTAAACCAGAGACAAAAAAAAAACAAAGTATATTGCTATTTCTTTCACTTGGGACAAGAAAACCAATTACCAAAGTTTTTAGCAAATAATCACCACAAAGCAAAACTACCAAATCAACATGCATTTATTGAAATTAATTAAACTTGTTTTACCTGTGACTGTTGTGATGACTGTGGTGGTGGCTGTGATGGCTATGCAATCGGTGGGATAGCAGAAGGATTTTGGCTAATGGCTTTGATGTAGCCATGTCGTTCACCTAACACTCTCTCATAACTAGCTGTTTCTTTAGTGGTTTTTAACTCCTTTTCATCCTTTGCCCTTATGTTTGTTCTAAGAGCACTTCAACTACCCGATTTTGTATTTTTCAAAAGCGATTAACAATGAAGTATAAATAAAAAGTTAATAGTATGATAAAATTATAATTAAATACTTCCTTATTGCTGCTCCGCTTTAACATTAACAAATACACCATTCTTATCGGTATGAGTATTGTGGAATGTTTCCACTCTCTCCAGGTTTGGTTTAACATTAAAAATTATATTATATTATAAATAAATAATTACTTATATCATACGTTAACTTTTTATAACAAATAGTACTACACAAGCTTGAACCCCAACGATTCAAGGTTGTTTGCACTGCATTGACTTTTTTGTTTCTTTCCGAAGTAGCTATGTGTTCATCCGTTTGGAAATACTCAAAATTTTCATCCAATTATCAACCTCCATATAGTGTGTGTGTGTGGGGGGGGGGGGAGTAATAACCTCACGATATCCACATGCCCTCCGACTTTGAAGGAATATTTTTTTGGATCACCTATATGTCCTCGATAACTTTTTAACAAAGTCTCTTCAAAACTCTCTAACAACATAGCAGTGTATGGATCCTGGGACATCCGATCCAAATCAAACTTTTCTACAAAAAAAAAAGTTAGCCAAGTAGAAACCAGTCACAATTAACCATTATATATATATATATATATATATATATATATATATAGAGAGAGAGAGAGAGAGATAAAGAGAGATAGAGAGAGAGAGAGAGAGAGAGTCAAGATCAAATAAGAAGGAAATTTTTGGTAGGAAGGTAAGAAATTTTTTATATACATATCTTCTTAGGAAAAAAAATGAAATGAATCATTAGATGATTCAAAAATAAGATAATTCACAAGAAAAAAAATCCAGAAAAAACACTTTTATGATTCATTTTTAGGTAAATCAAGAAAAAAAATTCACTTTTATGATAATTTTAGTGAATATCAACAAAATCATCGTAAAAGTGAATCATCGAAATGTTTTTTTGGGATTTTTTTTTGTGAATCATGTTATTATTGATTCATCTAATGATTCATTTATTTTGTTCACCAAAAAAATAAGCCGAAAATTTTTTCTTACCGGATCTATATATATATATATATATATATATATATATATATATATATATATATATATATATATATATATATATATATATAGTACTCCTAAATGCTATTTTACCGTATCCTTTATCGCAAGGAAAACTTTTTTCCAAGTTTATTTATCAAAAGGGACCATCCGCCACATTATTTTCAGAATTTTGCGGGCAAAATGTCATTCGACTCTCCTAAGGGATCATATGTCATATCCCTATCAAAGTCCATGTCAATCGGTTGGCCTTCATTTCCATAAAACCAAAGTAATCAATAATTTATCAAAACATCATCAACTCAGACTAAATCACAGAATGCAGAAACATGTCGTGTGTGCTCTACAACCATCCTGACCTCTTCCATTTGAAAATCTGAAGTACCTGAAATATAAATGAAAACCGTAAGCACAAAGCTTAGTGAGTTCCCCAAGATACCTCATACCATACATAAATAAGCACAAATGGTCCCCTGCCCATTGATGCAACGGGCCCCACCCACATTCGCCTAACAGACCCCACCAACTGAGATACGAGCCCTGCCTACACTCTCATAACAAGCCCCGCCCACACTCACAGAAGGAGTCCCACCCAACATACAAACACATACTCCTACTAACACATGCGATAATCACAAAGATAACAGCACACAAAATAGTCGTCAGGTTTTGCCTGACATCAAGCCCCGCACCGCATACATACCAATAGATACTCGTGCAGACAACTAGTATCCTAACAAAATAAACCATGGGCCGACATTAGTGCCTTCGATCCACTAAACACAATGATGAGAGTCACCTCGCACTGCCGAATCACACAGATAATCCCTGGCTGCTGGATGACTGATCCCCGAACTATCAATATCAAATGACATTTAATTAATAATTGGATTCTCGTCCAAACCATCAGGCCATTACTAGGGTAAATGACCAATTTACCCCTTACATAGTTTGGACCAGGACCTAATAATCCAAAAAGGCCCATATACAAAATAGCCATCCAAGGCCCAATTCATGGCCTAATTTTTCAAATTAGTCCCAAATCCCTTTATAGGCCTTCACAAATAATTATCAGCCCAAAACCAAATGGCCCAAAAGGGCCAAATACAATGTAGCCCAAAAGATGGCTCAAATCGAAGCCCGATATCAAAATCCAATCTTCTTGAGTACACGTGGTGTACTCAGCTGTATGCTAAGCGTACATGCTAAATGGCTTGTATGTCGTGCGTATAGACTTGTATGCCCAACTTAGCGCTTAGTTCCGGTATGAATTATTTCTTTAAATTGTTGATTTTTCCTGTTCAACTTGGCGAGTTGAAAGCTTGAACTTCACGTGTTGCGTGGAATTTAGCCATAAGAATAAATGGACCAAATTGACGAGTTGGGGTGCCTCAACTCGACGAGTTGGTGGCTGGGAAGGAAACCTTAATTTTGAGGGTGTTTCACTCTATTTAAACGCCTTAAGTCTCTTGGCTGGCCTCCTTACCA